AAAATGACAGCTGACCCCCTGCACATTCGGCGATTTAGCACAAGGACTCCTTGAGATGTAAACTGTGGGAGCCTGTATTGTGTTCTGAGGCACCTCATACAATATATTGTACCGTATCACTTTTTAATCCAGAAAAAGATGGAGGGTCGGTCAAGGACGACAGAGGTTGCTACAGAAAGAGGACATGGGCGAGAATAACGACAAAAAATGGGCATACCGTGTATTGAAAAGGCAGTGCTTGCTCCCATTCGTTTGAATGCAACTGGCATAGTACGTACGCCACTCGTGTATATTTTTACCAAAAACATTCCGATTTTATCCACAATATAAAATATGGTTTCTATATTTCTATTATTTGCATCTCTCAGTGTGCGGTGGCACTTAGTTGACTCGTTAGCGTTAGGGGAAGTATTTTACTGGTCAATGAATTTGTTTAGTTTAAGCTGTCGTCAGCTTTAAAAAAAAACGACTGTACCTGGCTCGATTCTGTAAATATTTCTACTGCACACTTTATTTTTGAGTTAGACTTTAATTTTTTAATTGTGTTATATGTGCATGTGAGCCGTTCCTATGTCCAGAAAAGGCAAAAAAGAAAATAAAGAGTGTATGGATCCATTCTTGGAGGGGTGTGGAGAGGGCGTTATGGACTATGTATTCTCCAAAAAGAACTTCCATCCATTCATCCATCCATTTTCTGAACCGCTTTATCCACTCAAAGGTCGCGGGGCATGCTGGAGCCTATCCCATGTGTCTTCGGACAGAAGGTGGTGGACACCCTGAACCAGTTGCCAGCCAATCGCAGGGCACACAGAGACGAACAACCATCCACGCTCACACTCACACTCACGTACAATTTTAAGTGTTCAATCAGAACTGCCATGCATGTTTTTGGAATGTGGGAGGAAACCGGAGTTCCCGGAGAAAACCCACGCAGGCCTGGGGAGAACATGCAAACTCCACACAGCAAGGCTGGAGCTGGAATCGAACCCGGTACATCTGCACTGTGAGGTCGACACGCTAACCACTGGACCACCAGGTCGCCCCGTTGCCCATCCCTGCTCTTCACAATTATATAATGAAATTCAATGTGGCTACCTAAAGCGCCTAAAATGTTTTACTGTTTTAGTGTTGTTGAGTGGTGCTGTGTGGTGATGTGATAGAGTAATTTCTTAATTTCAGAAAATACTATCCGATATCAACTAACTAGAATGACTCCACAATTCAAAAGCCTTTTTCGTCCCCCTTATCACACAAGCCCGTCTGTTTGTGTGGACTAATGATGATGGGCTCTAATGTTCTTTTGGAAGAAGCAATTAGCTGCTGCTCTCTCCAGACACAGGATGCATACACAAAGTAGAGCATAGGCAATAGAGTTTTTTCCTCGCTTTGCTTTCAGCTGAACCATTACCTGGCAATATTGAGCTGTCTGGGGCTTTAGAAGGAACGAGGAGTGCTTCAAACTGCCTGAAATAATTGCATGAAATTCAGTTTTATGACAGTATAGCGTGGGGGTGTTCTGAATGAGGGGCGAAAACACATCCCAAGAAGCCAGTGAGAGGGTGATATAGAAATATCAACCGGCCCTTCACATAAAACGTTGAACAGACAAAAGAAGCACTATAAGGATGAGATGTGTGTCGTATCATTTCTTGCTGACGTAGAGCTCACATATATTTTATTAGAAACAGATTTTCTTCCGCACAGAGGAAATGTGATTGTGAATATTCAGGCAGATTCTGAAGTCCACCCTCCACTCCCTCATCTTGGAAGGCCGTTATGAATTTTGGAAAAACAGATAAATGTTTAATCCCCTCCACATATTACATACACAGCGCACAACAAATTGATGAATAACTAGTTTTAAAATCAGAAGTCAAGATTAATAACTGTTATTGTGGATTACATTTGACAATTTGAAATTTTGGTTCAGACTTTAGCAAGCATCATGGAACTTGACATGCTTGAATTGCTTTCGCGGGCCAAGTAAAATAATGTAACAGGCCAGATCTGGCCCCTGGGCCTTGACTTTGACACCTGTGATCTAAATGATCTTGTGTGGAAATGAATTGCCTGGATATTCTCGTCCTTGAGTTTTGCCAAATCATATTTGCCCGAAGCAATGCTTTGTTGTGGATGAAATGCATCACTGTCATGCCACTTGTCTTTCAAACTTTTTGACCTCCAGTGCGTTTGTTATTCACTTGCTAAACTGAACAGGGGAGTAACTCTTGTTTGAATCCACCAATTTTTCTTGTGAGCTGTAGTTTATTGGAACACCTGCCTGACAGCTATGTTTTGATGTTGTCACATGATCATCAGTGCTGAGTGTCTTCTTTGGGTTTCAGATTGCCTATGAAGTCTGCATGTGTACTGTGATAGCCGAGGTGTAACTAACATCAGAAATCGGAGAGCTGGTGAAAAACACATGAAAAAATGTGCAGCTGAGAGAATATTCATTCATTCATTCATTTCCCGATCTGCTTATCCTCACAAGAGTCGCGAGGGGTGCTGGAGCCTATCACAGCTGTCTTCGGGCAGTAGGCGGGGGACACCCTGAACCGGTTGCCAGCCAATCGCAGGGTACACAGAAGCGAACAACCAACCGTACTCACACTCACACCTAGGGACAATTTAGAGCACTCAATCCGGCTGCCATGCATGTTTTTGGAATGTGGGAGGAAACCGGAGTACCCAGAGAAAACCCACACAGGCCCGGGGAGAACTTGCAAACTCCACACAGGGAGGCCGGAGCTGGAATTGAACCCGGTACCTCTGCACTGTGAGGTCAATGCGCTAACTAATTGTATTTATATTGCACTTAATTGAACTTATTGACCTTATCCATATTTGTATTTATATTGCACTTAATTGAACTGTGTTTTCTTTTCTCTTCTTTCTACCCACAATCTTGCTGCTGAAGGCTGTAAATTTCCCCAGTGTAGGACAAATAAAGGATATCTTATCTTATCTTATCTTATCTTAACCACTGGCTCAACAGGCCGCCCTCCAATACATTTGAAGGGGAAATGACAATCAATAAAATTGCTTACAGCATTTTATTTGAGGATCCAATTAAAGCTGACTGAGCACCCCAACCGTTTTGGAAATATTTCTAAGAAATACATTTTTTTGGTGCTAGATCTCGTCTGTTGCAGATGTAAATACTAATTTGGCAACACAAACATTTTCTTGAACATAGCAACATATATTTCCTCATTTGGAATATATTTTAGCCCACATTAAGATGCGAAACCTTTTTTTTTTTCTTTGTTCATCGTGGTGAGGACATCTGTAGAAGATGCAAATGATATGATCATTTTTCAAGGGTAAAGTTGATCCAAAGTTTTGGTCGTCAGCTTTGTTTCGAGTTATCAAAGGCAGCTGAGCCAGTACGGCAAAATCATTTGTCCCATGGTATGAGGCATTCAAATTCATTCCTGTCCCACTTCGTCACGTGTCGTTTTCTCTCCCAGTCGCTCTGATGTTTATCGTTCAGAGACACTGTGACACTGCAGTGTGAACACAAAGGTCAGGCAGCACATCAGTTTGCTGAAGCAAGCGTTGCCTCATTATGAAGAATCATTGAATGATTGGAAGAAATGAAAAATACACATGCGGCATGTTTGTATGCATTACACAGGATTGCTTCAGGGAAGCTTTGTCAGTCGAAAAGCACCAGTTCGTGTTTGTATTTTGTCAGCAAAACTCTATCTGCTGCAACAAAATGAAATTCCACATGGGAAAGAAAACTTGCTCCAACAGCAAAACTCTTTCATTTTTGTTATTAATCCATATGCAGAGAAGACGTAAACCATCAGCAAGGATTGTTTGACTGTAGTTGTTTTGAACGCTTGTACTTAGCGTCCAAAGGAATTCTACTGCAATTTGGAAGGATGCTGCCACATGGACTTGTACAACTTGTACAGCAACTAAATTATGCTTTGCATCTGACTGTGAATTAGTATATTTACTTCATAATGACTATTCCCTGCGATTGGCTGTCAACCAGTTCAGGGTGCCCCCCGCCTACTGCCCGAAGACAGCTGGGATAGGCTCCAGCACGCCCGGGACCCCTGTGAGGATAAGCGGATTAGAAAATGGATGGCTGCATTAAACTCTGAGTTCTGCATATTTCAACGTAAACTTTAAATGTACTGCTTTGATAATGTGATATTTTACTTAGCCACACATTATTATATCCAAGAGGAACATAAGCGACTCAAATATTGCTTTTAAGCTACTATCATGAAATTGAATATTTTGTCATGATATAATGGGAAAATATAAATGTAGGAAGATATTTTGGAATATTTGTAATATTTATGAATTAAAGGTTAGGTTTAGCAAACATCCTCATAGATTACAGAGCAAGGTATTTTTTTTTTTAGTTCAAACCAAAAAAAAAAAAACAAACAATGATGTTCTAGTATCAAAACGTTTTGAAATCAACATCAAAAATATGTTTTGGGAAACATGAAGCCATCTCTGATTCAAAATTGCTGTTGACCAGTGTAATAGGGTTTTTTTTGTGTTTGTTTGTTTGTTTTGTTTGGTTTTTTTAAGCAACAACAATTTTCCTTTCTCCTGGGAAAATACCCCCCCCCCTTTCCTTCTGCAACTTTGATTCAAAAGTGCACTCACTAGCAGACACTCCAGTCGGTAATTCTGCAGACTCAAAAAGGATCGCTCATCATCAAAAATTTGGCCTACAATATCATGTTGCATAAAACAAGCACATTTTTATAAATAAATATTTTGCAAATCACACCTGTATTTACCAACTTCTACTTCAATAAAAAATATAATTTCAACAGTTTTTTTGTTTTCGTTTTTTGGAAACAGTAGAACCTGTGTTATCGCCTGGCCAGTGAGCATACATATTGCGCTGGGATGAAGTAATTATGAGTACATGTGTCTCTGCATTGTATAAGAGTTATTTCTCAATAATGTGGAGTCAGCAAGTCGGCTGCATACTTAATTCCAATGTCATTCTATTTTAGTCACACATCCCCCCTGAGAGACGGAACAATCAAGAACAATCTATCGGAGCCGCGCCTTTTCCTTGTTCTACTTGTGGTGTGACGGGACCCGCTGACTTCAAAGGTACTATGGACTCTCTCTTCATACCTCCGGCCTCTGCTAATCACTTTGTTCAGCTCATCATTGCGGCAATTATATTTCCTGGCAGTGTTTTTGGTTTCAACATCTGACACTTGTGTGTCCCCATAAGGCCTCCTCTGGGGACTGTCTCACTTTGCTAGTTAGCTAATTGTTTATTGGTATTTCAATACGTTTCTTCTCCCCCACCCCTCATTTGAATATTCCACACAGTTATAATGTGGTGAATGTCAGTTGACGCACGTGGTTAAATTGATTTATAATAACTTAACCGTTTCAACATGCTCCCAACTGTTACACAACTCAAGTCAATTTATTAAAAGACTCTTTGTAATTGCAATTAGTATACAAAGTATGTTGCGGTTTCATTACTGGATACATGGATGCCAAACGGTGTGACGCATTTTCTACAATTACAAAGTGCTTTGAGAGCTAATCATGAGTCACATTCGTAATGATGATAATGAACCCATTGCTGGTTTTCCATAATAAGTTGGTGAAATATCTTTGACCAAAGAGCACTAATACACGTTTAACATCAGTAGCTTCAAGAATTTTGAAGCTGTTTTCGTGCAGCTTTTTGCACTGTCATGAAGACACGTTCACCATGTTTAGAGTGAAAAGTTGCGACTCTTCTAAGAGTGCATATTACGCTATCACTGCATGACAGACGTGTCATTGTCATTGATGAGCGATTGCACCTTTTGAACAACAGTTACAAAGTGTTGCATCAACAGGCTGTAACGCTGCCTGTATTGTCTTCGTGAGAATTTGAATGTTTGAATTGTAAAACGAGAGGCGTTTGACGTTTATGAGAGACCAGTGCAATGACTGTTTTTCTTTTTTTTTTTTTTTTGTCGGGGTGGGGGGATTCCAATTGTATTTCAGCCAAATGCAGCTGGGCCTCGCCAACTCAGTTGAATAAACAGAATACAGAATTCGTGACGCTGTGGAATAGTCTTACTTTGGCCCCTCTACAAATCTGACTCTTACGGGGCCTGAGAATCGTCACCATTTTCTTGTTTTCTGACTCCTAAGACAAGGACTTCTGAAACAGTTTGTTGTTCAAGAGCGGCTTGACACAAGGAAGCTGAAACCTATGTCTCGCATACAATTTTCACAACATTCAAATCTTTGGAGCTAGTGAATTTGTTTTTTTTTTTTTTTTTAATTAGTTTTCAGATACAATCCTCTAAATTACAATGAATTAACACTTGAAATGCATCAGTCTGTATGGAATGAATGCATGCATTACTCAAGTTTCACTTTCTGAATAGTATTCCTGAAATATGTACTGTACAAAAAATGCTGCTTACTTGACGTAAAGAGAACTGAAGCCACCAGAGGCCAAATTGCGTCGCCACTTGCTAAGTGTGCTTAACTTGAATTGATTTTTTCTGTGGCTTTTTCACGTTATTTTCTGTCTTCTAATGTGATTAGAAATATTCTCTTAAGGTCTATCTACTCAAAAATTTGACTGCATCATGTTGTCAGAACCATGAACAATGAAATGAAAGAAAAGCCCATCAAGAAAAAAAAAATGCTGAGAAATGTAAACCTAACCTAAGTCACGATTCACTAAATTGAGATAATATAGTCCGATTGGTCGAAGTGAAGAGTGAAGTTTGTTCTTTGAGAGGCACTTATTACTCTATAGATGGATCCTAACATAAAATATGCACTGATAACTCTATGTTTAGTAAAATACGAACAAAAGTTCTCAGCAACAGTGGCAATGTAAGATGGCTTCAGCTGTGAGGGGCCAATTGTTAACCTGTTCACATATAAGTCAAAGACTATGCGGTCATGTTCCTGCCTGGCTCTGTTTAACCGGGAAAACGTCAGTAGTGATGATGTTTAATTGGTGAATAATGCCCAAGCAAGTCTCGCTGAGAAAAGAAAATGTTTTTGGAATGTGGTAGAAAAGCGGAGTACCCGGAGAACTCCATACAGGAAGCCCGTCGCCGGAATCAAACCCAGCACCTCTGCACTGTAAGGCGGGCATGCTAACCACTGTGCTGCCCCATCAATAACTTGAAACAAAACAAAACATTGTTCTCTTGCTCTCCAGAGTGATATGGAATCACAAATCTCTCATTGAATTTAAATTGATAAAAGTTGCTGGTTCCATTGAAAATGAACTTTTGGCGCTGGACATGTATTTGCTATGGTACTTTAGGTGCATGCCCGGGATGGCACAAGTTTCAATACAAATGTTTGGCAGGGAAAGTAAGCTTGTCTAGTCTAAAACATCAGACATAAAGGCACACCTTGCTGTTCACCTTTCACGATGCCACCTTCTATATTATAATGCAGTGCTGCATTTGTCGAGTCAAAAGAGATATTGCTTGGCTATATCACTCAGCTCTGGAAAGTTTATTTCATGCTGCTTCCACCATTCAAGTGGATCAGCCTGTTCATAAATGACTGCTTTGATTTTGGCAGCGTTCAGCATGATTGACTCCATGATTGCCTTGCGCCGAGCTCCTTACTTGTCAAATGCAAAACAATGTGAAAATGACTGCTCTAATGTGGTCTGTTTTTTTTTTTTTTCCTCCCACGATCTGCGTACATTATAGCAACATTTACTGCTGTGTGTCTTCGATTCAACATTGAAATAATTAGGCTGAGTTTCTGGCTTTTTTTTTTTTTTTTTTGCAACAGCCGATTAACATACTTTGTTTTGTTTTTTGTGATTTTTTTTTTTTTTTTTTTGGTTAATTGTCTGATGCTGCCAGACCAAACCAATTCCAAACTACTAAAACTATGCATCTTTTGGATAGTACCTCATCTGTTTTCTGTACCATGTTGCCTGTATAAATGGGGTGTGTCAGCAGCCATGAATTTTTTTTGTTTTGATTATATATATATATATATATATATATATAAAGTTCAATACAATCTTCCAGTGTCTTTTTTTTTCTCAGATCTAATCTCAAACTAAATGTATTTTTTTTTAGCATTTTTTCACTCCCTCATGCTTGCTCAGTTCATTGAATATAAATGTGAATGATTGCCTCCAACTAGGTTGTAATTTGCTTCTCATTTGAGAGTCAATTGCAAGATAGACTGCAGCTCACCCAGGTCCTTGAACAGTTTAAGTTGTCAAGGCTGTCAATTCGTGGGTCGACTTCAACCCAGGCATGTTGCGACATGTGAAGAGTAAAAATAGATAGATAAATAACTAACACCAGCCTAATTATGGATCCTTTATATTAATTTCCGTTCTCGTTCACTCGTCGGTGCTTTACAACACGGATTTTCTTTTCCAATCCAATATTGTCAGCGACTTCATTATCAGAATAGCTGAATTTGCGTATTTCCTGTTCAACTACGTGGGCTACAAGGGAAGACAAGCTGCAAGAACCAAGTGAGTATGCACTCATTCATTTACGGACTCATTCATTTACGGAGGCCTCCACACATGAGACATCACTGCCGTCAATATATGTATATGTTTTTAATCACACATGTACACACACTGACATTCAACAGTCTGTCTCTTATATTTAATGAACGTATGTGACGTGTTTCAAGTCAAGTCCAAGTGCACAGTGCATCCCAGAAAGTAATGTAGCACTTCGGCAAATGGGAGGGATGAGCTTCATTGGCGCAATGTGTCGAAGAAGCGTGTTGCTTTTCCCATTGAGCTAAACTGTATCATCACTCGAGGAAGCCTCCGCTGGTTGTACCCATTCAGACCGAGCCGCCATCTTTTACCGGGAACTGCTGGTGATCTCTTCAGTTCACTTGTAATGAGGCGCTGTAACTTTGGCTCCAATAAATGAATCATAACTTGTCATTTTTATAATTTTTTTTTTTCTTGGATTGGGTTCATCAGACATGCAGTTACGACACTGGGCACGTTCATTTTATAATCGGGCCTTTTGTAACATATTAAATATGAACACCAAATGCTTTCCAAATTAAAAAAAAAAACAACTAAGAAATCATCATTGGTCACAGTGTCAACACATGCACTTTTCCGAAGCCATACGTGATCATCATCAATTGTTCTCATGACGACTGTAATCATTTGTTATTGATAATCAATGCCTTAACTGTGCAGTGGTTGTGTCCGTGTGTGATTATCAGGGGGCTTGTAAGCGTGCATGTACAATAATGTATCCCATGTTTACGCCAAAGGGGGAAAGCAAGCCTACAAGAAAAAACATGAATTCCCCGGTAATGATATAATCACTCGCTGTTGGTTTCATCAAATACCACACACCTCGAATTTTGATGAACCGTTTTAGTTATTCATTGGTAAAATCCTTTTACATGAAAAATGAAAACCTGAAGACAGGAATTCCATTTCTAAAGATCCTGCTGGTTTGGAGAGCCATGCTGACAGAGAATCTATTCAAGATATATTAACCACAAACACAGTATGAATTGTTGTCATGTAAAATTTTCCTCCAAGTGACGACTGCATCATTTGCAAATCCACTTGTAACTGTGGCTGTGAGTGTGTTTTAATGATTTTATTCTGGAGATGTGATTTATTTTCTAGAGGTGCAGAAACTCCACTGTATTCCATACTAATTAAATGTATTTATGCCTTGAGACCACTTCCAACACAACCATTTCCCTTTGTAGTGGAAATAATATGTTCCTTTTTTTTTTTTTTGCCCCCTTTGATTAGTCTACACAAGAACTGTCCACAATTATATGCATGCCTTTTGTAACACTTTTACAGTATATGTTTCTTCCATTTTAGGTTAGATCTGAAGAGGGTGACTATATAGTTTAGGAAGGGGGATCAAAATCCGCAGACCTTTTGCTGTGTTTTACTTCTTGGTCATTGGTGAACACCTGTTAATGTAAAGCTAAAAAAAAAAAAAAAAAAACCCAACGTTACAGAAGCAGACTGGAAATCTTCAAACGCTGGTCCTTGTGCGTTCTGAGCTGTTTAAGTAAGCTCGATATGTTGGTGTTTGATGATAAGCCGTGAGGTGTAATTGACACGCTTGCATATCCTGCCATAACATTCACTTTATGAAATAGGGTGGCATGGCCATTGACCTTCTTCTCGTCGGGGGACATCATTCGCTGTGCTACTTCATTATTGCAAAAAAAAAAAATCAACATTTCTAATGAAAGAAAAGGATACAAAGCAAACTGTAATTCACTCACATTGAATGTGAAGTGTACACCCCACCCTCGTCATGAGTGTGCTTTGGAGAAAGGGTGAAGAAAGACAGCTAAGTCCAAAAGAAGGGAACAACAAACATCAAGGCAGGATTTGGCACTTTGAAGGGGAATGGACTTGGTGCTTGCTGTGATTTATGGTGAGGAATGAATCCTGTTTATGCATAGAAACACATACACATGAGCGCCTCCCTTGTCCCGCTGTCTGTAGCGTTAGCATTCATCGACCAACCGGCAGCACGGTGAGCAAGTGGTTAGCGCATCTGCCTCACAGTTCTGAGGTTGGGAAAACATGAGATTACATGTTTTCCCCGTGCTTCTGGGTTTTCTCCAGCTAATCAGGCTTCCTCCCATTTTCCTCCAAAAATTGTCTTCATAGGTTTACCCGAACCTTCACTCAATTCATGTTCTCACACAAAAGAAGTCAACATTTAAACATGTACATGCATAAACCTGGTGAGTGACATCTCTTCAGTCAATCACTTATCAGTGTCATTTACCTTGAATCCAAATTTCGCATCTTTTATCGCATATTTTGGACAAGTCTATGTTTGCAACTCTGTAGCATGCAGCAGTGTGCCCGTCCTGTGCACAAAACAAGATCCAGCCTTGGTTGGATGAGTTTGATATTGAATAATTTGAACTTTTTGCTTTTTTTTTTTTTTTCTCAAACCCATCAAACAAATTCAGACCGAACCAGAAATAGAGCTGAGCCCACAAAGTATTTTCAGTCAGCCACAGAAAATAGTGATACTGATGAAAGTTTTCCAACATATCTGTTGAGGTGTACTCATTTAAATGGAGCATTGTATGTTGTCGCTGTTTACCAAAATGCCAAATGTCCCCTTTTCAAGAGCTTTTGCATGTAATAAATACATCTGTTCAAAAAAGCATTGTGTTCTCGCACTTAAAATCTGATTTAACTTCTGGCGTTTTCTCTTTTCTCTCCCCTTTGTTCTTCCTTTCCTTCTTTTGTTCTCATTCTAGCTGAGTCATCCCTCTGTTTTTGTTCGAGTTGGGCATGACTGTTGCCTAACGGCTATCATCCTGCGTATCTACTAGGTCTGTATTGTTGTGGACCGGTATTTCCAAACCCATGTATTGCAACCTCCAAATCATGCCACTGTTGGTAAAAGATATCAGCGTGTTAACGAGCGTGACAGTGACATGGACTCAGGCTTGCAACTGTGATCTGGAAATCACAATGTGTTGGATTTGTGCCTGCGGCGAGGCTTGCACGTCAGAAAGCATTACTGTTCTGTGGATGACCAATTCTCCATTCAAGCTATGATTGTTCATTTGCAGGAAAGAATGGATTCCTCTTTCATCAATCGGATGTTCATTTTCTCACATTGACACCGACCATTGAGAAAGTTTGTCTTGATTTTGTCAAGAGTTGCCTCTTCACACATGCCGCACATGTCAGGAGCTACTTCAGACATACTCTCACCTCAGAATAATAATGAAGTTGCACAGGAAGAATCTGACGTTCTGTACACCTTACAGGATTGTGCCAATGTGGTCACGTTTTTAATTCAATCACAAATCACAGATTGTCCTCCTCTTGTGACAGAAGTCAGAGTCCGTATATCTTTTTGTATTTTCAATACAACCTTACCTTCCGCACCTGTGTATAAAATGGTCTCCCCCTTAAATTTGATTTTCCTCATTGTTTCATGAAAACTGTAACCAGTATAGTCACAAAACCAGGTCTACATTAATCAGCATCAGTTTGGGCTTTCAAGGATCTGAAAACCCAAGTTGGCAGAGGTAGAATTTGTTTGAAGTAAAATATGTGCTTTGGCTAAATAAATGGGAAAGACTACATTCTAGTAAGGATCAGGGAATGGCAAAGTAAATGATGGAGGGGGTCACAATTTTTCATCAGTGCTACTGGGAGGCCACAGAGCACCACACACTTACTAAGTATCTAGTAGTGAATGGTGATGTTACTTGAGTTACTTCAAAACGTAACTTTAAGCTGTACAGTGGGCCCCCCGTGTTTGCGTTAGAGAGGGACTGGACCAGCTTCTGGAGAGCAAAAATCTGTATTTAGTGAACGGCCACTGAAATGCATTGTAAAACAAAAAACAATTTCTTTTTGTAGACCACCCTGACATTTTCACACACACACACAAAAACCCCACACTGATAAAGTTACAATCTGCATTTTAATTTGGTGTGAAATAACTTGATTGACTACACAGAACCCCCACATCACCAACATGTTTGGGCTGACTAGAATGAAGATTGGAACGCCGGCACTCATCTGTGACCTCTGACCTGAACACTCAAAATTGTCTCTAGGTGTGAGTGTGAGCGCAGATGGTTGTTCGTCTCTATGTGCCCTGCGATTGGCTGGTAACCGGTTCAGGGTGTCCCCCGCCTACTGCCGGAAAACAGCTGGGAGAGGCTCTAGCACGCCCCGCGACCCTTGTGAGGATAAGGCGGTTCAGAAAATGGATGGATGACTAAATGAACAAAATTACAGAAACACTCCACAATAGTGTAGAAAGTCCTCCTACAAGACCGGGCAATGTTATAGCTGTCAGGGGGCGAGACCGTGTGAAGATCATTTGGAAATTACAGATTATTAGACATCATAGAGCGATCACGTATACCATATTTTTAAGCGCGAATCTAAAATATCATTCACTATTTGGGTTGGCTGTGCATGTGTGAAAGGGCCCCAAGTGTGTGGTGTTTAACTCCCTTTATTGTGCCAGTAATTGGTGAATTATGCTTCCATTTTGTTCCAGTGATATTTGTTCAAAACCAATACTGAGTGCCATCCTTTCTATCAGGGTTTGTCTTAATTAGCAAAATGGGCCTGAAACTTCAGAACGCAAACACATAATTGGCATCCAGCAGAGCAGCCTCATTCATGCGTCTGCTGTTCTGGGCTTTGTGAATCCGAGATATCCCTGCACAGGCATCGCCTTTTGCGGAGAGAATTGAGGCTTTTCCCATTTGGCACCGGTGTCAGAGAAGCGCAAATGAAAGAGATTAAACGAGCACAGATGCCACTCTCCGTGCTATAAAACTCTACCCTCTGTGCGGTCAGCCATGAACACTCAAAATTGTCTCTAGGTGTGAGTGTGAGCGCAGATGGTTGTTCGTCTCTATGTGCCCTGCGATTGGCTGGTAACCGGTTCAGGGTGTCCCCCGCCTACTGCCGGAAAACAGCTGGGAGAGGCTCTAGCACGCCCCGCGACCCTTGTGAGGATAAGGCGGTTCAGAAAATGGATGGATGACTAAATGAACAAAATTACAGAAACACTCCACAATAGTGTAGAAAGTCCTCCTACAAGACCGGGCAATGTTATAGCTGTCAGGGGGCGAGACCGTGTGAAGATCATTTGGAAATTACAGATTATTAGACATCATAGAGCGATCACGTATACCATATTTTTAAGCGCGAATCTAAAATATCATTCACTATTTGGGTTGGCTGTGCATGTGTGAAAGGGCCCCAAGTGTGTGGTGTTTAACTCCCTTTATTGTGCCAGTAATTGGTGAATTATGCTTCCATTTTGTTCCAGTGATATTTGTTCAAAACCAATACTGAGTGCCATCCTTTCTATCAGGGTTTGTCTTAATTAGCAAAATGGGCCTGAAACTTCAGAACGCAAACACATAATTGGCATCCAGCAGAGCAGCCTCATTCATGCGTCTGCTGTTCTGGGCTTTGTGAATCCGAGATATCCCTGCACAGGCATCGCCTTTTGCGGAGAGAATTGAGGCTTTTCCCATTTGGCACCGGTGTCAGAGAAGCGCAAATGAAAGAGATTAAACGAGCACAGATGCCACTCTCCGTGCTATAAAACTCTACCCTCTGTGCGGTCAGCCATTTTAATTGTTTCAGCTTAATGTACCGTGTTGGTGCTTTTTATGCAGGAGGATGAGCTCAAACATTGTGCAGAAAGTACAATCTCCAATAGACAAACTTCCCTCTATTCCTTCCTTTCCCCCTCTCTCCTCTCCCTCCTTAACCTGAAAGATCAGGACAAGTGCAAGCAATACTGGACATGGAGGACTATGAAGTTCGCTCAGCTGCCAGCATCCTGGCGTCAGTGAAAGAACAGGAGGCCCGTTTTGAGCAGTTAACCCGAGCCCTGGAGGAGGAGCGTCGGACTCTGCAGCTTGGGCGGGCCAATGCGCCACCCAACCCTCCCACCAGCCAACCGTTAGCATGGCAGCAAGTGGTGATGCAGGTAAATGTGTGAGCATGCTGGACCATCCCTCTTGTCTGTTTCGACCGCACCGCAACATCCCAGACATGTTGCTCGTTCCATCTGAGCAAGCTCATTCCATCATCATGTTTGTTCTTCATTGGTGGGAATCAATACCAATTCGGTTTAACCTCTGCCGTTTGGAGGGACCTAGTCACATTGCTTGAACCCTGACCTGGGTGTTCTGTGTATTACCTTTTTGAGGCAAACTGAGTGCGCCTCTACCTCTCGCTTGCTTTGCCTTTTTCGTCTAAGCTGCTGCTTGACATCCAATTCCATCTCCTTTCAACTTCTGGTCTTTGATATTGTCTGGTGGTGGTGCGATTGAATGTGGCCTCTCATCCAGATGGAGGAGTCCTGGCCTGGGCTCCTCTGCTGACTGGATCCGCAAGTGCAGGAAATGTAGGTTGGACAAATGAGAAAGCTGTAATCTTCTCAACATGTCAACAGACACATCAGCAAATTGATTTTGATACTTCAGACATCTGCCGAGAGAACGGATCTACCTATGTTAATGACTTCCAGGGTGAAGAAACAGAAGAACCAATTGACGAGACCTCACTGTTTGAGGATCCAAATGCATGTTTTTCTTTTATACCTCTGTTCCTTAGACATTCCAGTTGCCCATAATGAATTTTTGAACAGCGCCTCTCAGAAAACACTACTTTCAGTAAGCAGAAATCGAAAGCAATTTGTCCGTGCAGCACCTGCAATGCTCAGATGCGGCATGTGTATTTGTGATAGAAGTTCAAAGGCCATTTATTATTGATAAACTAAGACCTTCAGAAATTATTATTTCTTTCCTTACAGTTGCCTGAGGTCGAATGTTGTTAATGGTCTGTCAATGTTTACACTGAAGGGCCTCGCACCTAGGGAGGAAGGGAAAGGTGAAAGTATTCATCTTTTACCCGGCATCCTTTCTACACTCAACTACCAATACTGTATGTGCAATACTTGTGTTTGAAAGAGGAACTAAATCTACTCAAATGTTTAAAGGAGAGTGGCCCGGTGAGCCAGTGGTTAGCGCGTCAACCTCACAGTGCAGAGGTACCGGGTTCAATTCCAGCTCCGGCCTCCCTGTGTGGAGTTTGCAAGTTCTCCCCGGGCCTGTGTGGGTTTTCTCTGGGTACTCCGGTTTCCTCCCACATTCCAAAAACATGCATGGCAGCCGGATTGAGTGCTCTAAATTGTCCCTAGGTGGGACTGTGAGCGGGAATGTTTTTTCTCTATGTGGGCTCTGAGTTTGCTTGACAGCCAGTTCAGGGTGTATCCCGCCCACTGTCCGAAAACAGATGGGATAGGCTCCAGCAAAATGGATGGACGGATGGATGGATGGATGAACACTCGGGAGGTTTGGCATCAGAAAATGAATCTGACACATTGCATCAATATTTCAGCTTCTCCCCATAAAGTACAGTATATACATCTGGATGTCATAAACCACTTAGGAGATCTTTTTCTTTCATCGTAATCTACCCATTTTCCTTGTGAGTACAAGTATTAGAACACGAGTGTCAAACTCAAGGCCCGGGGGCCAGATCTGGCCCACCATATCGTTTTGTGTGGCCCGCGAGAGCAAATCAAGCATGTCAACTTTTTCATGATGCTTGCTCAAGTCTGAACCAAAATTTCAAATTGTCATATCTAATCCATCATAACATAGAGATATTGCAGGCAATATCTTGTTACGTACTTATAACATTAATGCCAACAATGATGGTTGAACAAATCCTTATTCTTGACTTCTGATTTCAAAAATAGTTATCAACCAATTTGTTGTGCACTGTATATGTAATATATGGAGGTGATTAAACATTTATACGGTTTTACAAAATTCACACTCATAATGGCCCTCTCAGGGAAAACGTAACTACAGTGTGGCCGGCGAGAAAAATGAGTGTGACACCCCTGTATTAGAACAAGTGACCTTTCTACTACATTGATGATTCATATACACCGCATTGCTAAAAGTATTCACTCCCCTGTCTTGATTCACTTATGACCTCAAAGGAGAACTAAACAGAAACAAATTTAAAGCAAGAATACATTGTTTGTGCCATCTCATTTAAAAACAGTGCAATCTGATTAATAATGCATTTGTGGAGTTCAATGGAATAATTCATTGTTGTCAGGGCAGTGCCATGTTTGGCCAAATTATTTTTAGCTGCAGACCGGACGTGACATCTTACACAAGTCGTGCCTTTCCTGCTAATGTGGCGGTCTATTAAATTATATCGGTCGAGAGACTGATGAGAGCGATGGGTTTTATTCAACCTTGTGTACACCAAGCCTTGGATGGAAAGCAGTGTACATCAATTTCTTGAAGTGAAACATATCCACGAAAAGAAATCCAGATGGCTTTGCTTAGTACCAGGAGATTATGAAGTTTGTGATCACGGTTTATTACGTAGCGTTTGTGAATCAAATCGGATATGTACTTGTCATTGCTGAATATTTACTCACCGTGCTGTTTAGTTTGAAATTAACATGGGCAAAAATCTGTGAACAGACTGTGTGTCGTGTTCCCACAAATGTGCCCGCAAGAGTGAAAATACCTAAAAAATGGCAGCCCCCTCAAAAATGTTTCGATGCAATGTTTGAAACATTTTTTTAGAAATTAATTTTGGCATCTTTGGTTTAGTAGTGACATCCCTTTCTTAATTCATATGGTTTAATAAGACGTTGGCCCACCCTGAGTGTATTTGTCACAAATTTGTCATCATTCTTCCCGAAACACACTTAAGTTGGACAGGATGGCGTGACTTTCAGTCATCAACAAAGGTGTTTTGTTGGTTTGAGGTCAGGACACCGTGCCGGGCCAGTCAAGTTTATCCACACCAAGCTCAATCATTTGTGTCTTCATGGGACACAAATGATAGTTCTCAATAACTTTCAGTGGAACCTTTACGTTGGAAGCAGCAAGGGGCCATCCCCAAACGCTTCCCACAAAGTTGTGATCATGAAACCGTTCAGACCTTAACCTGTTCACCGAACCTCTTTGGGATGAATTCGAGCGGAGACTGAGAGCCAAGCCTTCTCATCCAACCTCACAAATGCACTTCAGTAGGAATGGTAAAAAAATTCCCACAAACACACTCGTAAACACACTCCGAAAAAAAGGCAACAGAAGTGCGGGTCGACAGCAGTAGCTTGTTTCTCAGGAATTTGTGACACTACTTCTTTTTGCTCGTCGATTTCAATTTAACCGTTTATGAATCAATGCAAAGAACATGTTTGTGTTGTCCCATTCTGTGTCAAACTTCGTTTCTGCCAGACACTCCATTAGCCGTCTTGTTGACGTGATCATCAAAAAAGATTCAGTGACACGGATGGAAAACATTTTTGAATTTTCGTCCTTTGACAGTCCCCGCATGCGACCGCTCATACGAAAACACCCTTTCTTCAATTGACATTGCACTCGCCTTGGCAAATTGATTTTTGCCCGAAGGTGCGTCATCATCAAGGCTTTGAAAGATCAAGTGATGTATGATGGGAAGTTCTATGTGTGGAGATAGACAGACAAGACACAGACAGTCCCATCCCTCTGAGGCAGCGGAAGAAGGTGACCTCATTTCACCAGACGCCTCATCTCCCATCTTGTGCCGTGCCCGTTGATAAGAAAACACGGGATAATGTCATGCATTGTGGTTATCATAAACTGGTGGTTTAGTGTTTGAATTATTCGGCTGGTTTCTGGCACTGCAGAGCACTGTCATCGAGATGTCTGAATGTAGAGGGAAGTTTTCAAAGAATTTTCAGCCTTAGAAGGGAGGGAATAGTGCAGCTTTTGATCGGTGCTGCTGCCTGTGGTGTGGATGTACAGCCCCCAACCCTGCGATGGCACTGCAGCACTCAACTGACACTCGGCCCAGTCGCCCTCCACCCACTTTCATCTCCGCACAGCCCCCAGCCCCGTCTAGGCACAATGTGCACAAAGGGCTGAGGGTGATATAGTGACAGAAGATCTATCCTTCCACTGGCTGGGCCTGGGAGACCCTGTACCCTCATAAATCAGCTTCCAAACAATGAGCCTTAGTTCCCCCCTGCTCTCTTTTTCTATTCCTCCTCTCTCGCTACCCTGTTTTCCACTCTCTGTGCCATCAGAAACCTTCTCGCCCTCCATAAACACCCTAATTACTTTAGTGTGAAAGTTGCTCCTTTGTTTATTTTTTCTCCTCACACTCTTCCCAGGGTCCTCCTTTAGCACTTTTTTTTCTTATACTGCTGATATGTGGCGTCGTCAGTAGAGAATGCCAAGAATGTTGCTGCTTGGTTTTCATGTTTCCATACAAAGCCCTGCTTCGTTTAAAGCATATCAAATCATCTGGTAGTTGTTGTGATGGCTGACAAATAATGCTGCACGATATTGTGCTTTGTATTTTGATTGCGATGTCGATTTTTAACATGTACCTAAACATGTACCTAAAGACTTTTTTCACGTGGCTCCATATATTCTTATCTAATATGTTATTTGGTGTTAGTAATGACCCTAGATATGATTTAGGTATGACATTTTGGATTGCATCTGATTTCAAACTCAGATTAAAGAATATGATTCTTTATGAATTTGTCTCACATCTTTGCAAGCCACATTTTGCATGTGCCATGATTGCGATGACAATTTTTTTTCGATATATTGCACAGGCCTACCAACAGCGAAATAGGCTTTGCCGGTATGAATCCATCCATCCATCCATTATCCGAACCCACTTATTGTCAGGAGGGTCGCGGACGTGCTGGAGCCTGTACACAGAGAAACAACCATTCGCACTCACAATCACATCTTGGAAGAATATAGAGTGTCCAATTAACCTACCATGCATGTTTATGGGATGTGGGAGGAAAGCGGAGGACCCGGAGAAAACCCACGCAGGCACAGGGAGGACATGCAAATTCCACACAGGAAGGGTGGATCCCCGGATTCAAATCCTCGACCTCCGTCCTGTGAGATGTGCTAACCAGTTGACCACCGTGCCGCCGCC